GCACATGAGAGGGGGGAGGGTCAGAGGGAGAAGCAGACTCCCCGCCGAGCAGGGAGCCCGATGCGGGACTCGATCCCGGGACTCCAGGATCATCACCTGAGCCGAAGGCAGTCGCTTAACCAACTGAGCCACCCAGGCGCCCCTCCTATAACTTTTTAGATGGTAAGAGCCATTATTAAAAGATGCCCATTCTTCCTAAACAAACCTACATAATCAACATTATCTAAATCAAAATCACAATGAAGCTCATATGGATAAGTGAACGCATAATAATAGCCGGGAAATTTTTGAAAAAGAAAAATGAGATTTGTCCTACTAGTAATCACAACTTCATAGTTCAGAGAATGGGCTCTGAAGTTAAGAGTTGGTTGTAGTCCTAGCTTGTACATGAATAAATGTAACATCTTGGGGTGCATGGGTGGCTCAGTCGTTAAGCGATGGCCTCCTGATCTCAGCTCAGGTCTTGAGCTCAGGGTCGTGAGTTCAAGCCCCACGATGGGCTCCACACTGGGTGTGGAGTGTACTTAAAAGAATACTAACTCAGTGCTCACTTTGGCGGCACATATACTAAAACTGGAAAGATACAAAGATTAGCACAGCCTGTAGACAAGGATGAAACACAAATTTGTGCAGCATTTCCGTATTTTCTTATAAAGAAAGAATCCTTTCATGAAATAAAATGGCTAAATGTCAGAATATTTTCAAAAGAAAAATACTTAACTCATAGAGTTTTGTGAGAAATGAATTAGTTAAAATATATTAAAGTATTTTTTACCATGACTGGCACACAGGCAGTACTCAACGTTAACTGCTCTTCTTGCTGTTATCATGGTCCTAATCATCAGGCTACGTGGTATTGGCACAGGAATAAACAATATCTGGACAAGAACGAAAGCCCAGAAACAGGCCTGAGAGTAAACAAACCTCATTTAAGGTATCGTTTAATCAAATTTTTTTTTTTTTGGAAACGTCTACCTGTCTCCATTGATTTCTCTATTACCGAGGCCCCGGGAATATGAGAAATGTCTTTCAGTTACCTTCAGAAAGAATCATTCTGGACCTAGAAGCTTGAAATCAACTGAAGCCAGATGCCCTCTTAACTAATATCTACTTTCTTACTCTCTTTTCTAGCTTTTCTAACTTCAAGAGCATGTTACAGAAGTCAGGAGATGAAAAGAAAACATGCTAGGCATTTCCCATTATCTATTATGTCACCTTCCCTAAGTTGTGGATCTGTGGCCTCCTTCTTACTTCCAGCTTTGAATTTATCTCTAAGAATCATCTACATTGTCATTAGTTTTTATTCTTTTAGGCATCAATCATTCTAAAAGTCCTATTCATCTTGACAATATCCTAAGAGGTTCTTGACCCTCTCTTCTACTTGACCTTTACTATGAGTTCCTCCTTCTAAGTTCTATTCATTAAAAAAAACAAAAAACAAAAACTAAGCCCCAGCAGGAGTGGCTAAGGGGGTGAGAAGTAATGAGGTGAGAAGGAGGGAGTGGCGTAGGGCTTTAGCTCCATCAAAATTCCCACCTGCTACTATCCCCACCAAATTCTTTGCTACGGCTAATTACTATCTTTTCTCAATCACTAAAAGGAATACATAAATGCAGATACAATCCACAATTCTCCTCTGACCCCCTCCCCCATCAGAGTGCTTCCCAAGCTCTTTGTATAAAAAAGTTTGGGGCATTTTTAGACTTCTCATTCCTTTAGGTGGAATACTGCACATCAGAATCTGAAATCAAAGACTTTTGCTGGTTTTCAAATATGTTTCCTAAAGTCTAGGGCATACATCTTCTTACTGTCCAAAATTACTTTTCCTGTTACTTTTAATATAAACCCAGGACAACATGGTCCCTATCTCCAAAAGTTCTTTCTATAATTTGTATATCACTTTTTTCTACCGGTCCTAATTAAGTTCAAAACAGCAAATATCTTTATAGCTTCCTTTACCACCTAAAACATGAAATTATATTTTTCCAGATGCTCTGCTTCTAAAAAGCAAACTTCCAGAAGGTGCTGGGATGTCTGACTTTTTCCATCATAATTAGTTTGCTTCTGTACTAATATGTTGTCTTAAATTAAGAAGATACCATCTGGGGGCACCTAGCTGGCTGGCTCTGTCAGTAGAGCATGCAACTCTTGATCTTGGGGTCATGAGGGCATTCAGCATAGAGCTTACTTTAAAAACAAAAAAAAGAGGGCGCCTGGGTGGCTCAGTTGTTAAGCGTCTGCCTTCGGCTCAGGTCATGATCCCAGGGTCCTGGGATTGAGTCCCACATCGGGCTCCCTGTTTGGCGGGAGGCCTGCTTCTCCCTCTCCCACTCGCCCTGCTTGTGTTCCTGCTCTCGCTGTCTCTCTCTCCGTCAAATAAATAAATAAAATCTTTAAAAATAAAAATAAATAAAAACAAAAAAAAGATATCATCTTTATCCACAACTTTCAAATATTCTAACCATGTTTCTACAACTAAATAGTGTATTTCCATAGAGATGTCTAACTTTAACAGGTTACTTTCTCTCCACTTCTGGGGCAAAGGCAACTACTCTTCCACCAAAAATTCATTCTCCCCTTCTAAGGCTGTCACTGTAAGGTAGTCCTACCACAGACTATTTTTCTTAGTCTACTTGCAACCAGATATATGCCTATAACTCATTTACATCAACATAATGTAAGAGGAACTGATGTGTGTCAGAGTTTTTAAGAAACACAGCTGCTAGAGATAGAAAGAATAAGATATAAAGAAAAGAAATCCCCTTATTGCACATACTTTTTTTTTTACTGGTCTTTAACACAAGTCACTGCTAAATCAAACCTCAATTTCTCCATCAGACTCAAGTACAGTGTTTATCTGAATTCACCCTGAGCGGGGCACCTGGGTGGCTCAGTAGGTTAAGCGACTGCCTTCGGCTCAGGTCACGATCTCAGGGTCCTGGGATCGAGGCCCTCATCGGGTTCCTTGCTCAGCGGGGAGTTTGCTTTTCCTTCCCCCTCTACAGTTTCCCCCACTTGTCTCTCTAACCCCTTCTCTCCGTGTCAAATAAATAAAATCTTACAAAAAAAAAATTCACCCTGAGCACTGATGCCACTAGTTTAGCCCTAGGCCTGCCACTCCAAAGAGCCTGCAGTATAAAGCAGCTGTGTTTACAGCATGAGCTTCCAATGAGGAGCCAGCTATTTGTTGACATTTCTTTCTCCCATGCCCATGAGACGCAAACACTGCCAGCGGACTGTTACACTGTCATACATTTTAGAGCATTTAATAAGTGCCAACATTGTGCTATGGTTCCAGATGCTTGAGATAACTTCTGTAATCAAAACAAAGATCCCTCCCTACCTCCATGGAGCTTACATTCTAGCAGCAGCCACTCCCATCATTTAGACTTGGTGCAACAGTTTAAAACATATCTGCCAACACTTACGTAGACTTAATAAACATGGGCAATGATGGAACTGTTGGAGTGATGTATGAAGGAGCTATATTCTATGTGGGATAATAATGCTACAATAATCAACCTAGCATTCTCATTAGAAAACAATGCTCCAGCTTATTAAAGAGGACAAAGGGTACATTCTTAGATACAACTGAAGAAATAAAAGGAAACCAAAGAAGAAAAGGCTTCTAAGGTGGCTAAGGAAATCTTTGTCAATAGAATTTGACACAGTGGTAAATGAGTAATAAACAAAATTTCCATTTGGAGCTTTAGATGAGATTTCCATCCAGAGATTAAGGAATTCATATAACAATAAGATTCATAGGACTAGCCAGCATGGAAGAATCCTACTGTATCCTCCAGAAAGAAGGAAAGCTTTGAATGGCTGATGAGTCTGTACCAAGGTGTAGGAAACTGCCATCTATCTGACAAGGCAAATTAAAAAGTATGCTCTCTTTCTGCAGCATATCCAAAATGCGATGTAGGACCATTCAGGAAATGCAGACCTTCCATCTATTTCTACCAACTCATCTAGGAAAAAATGATTTAATTAGTAGAAATAAAGGCAATGTTGCACAATAGAAGTTTGAGCCAGCTTTTGACTCAGAAGACTCATATTTGAGCATAAACTCAATTCAGGGGAGGAGGAGTGACAGGGAAAGAGAGAGAGGAGCTGACTATATACACATAAACTCCATACACACTCTACAAACCCAAACTTACAAACGGACAGCATTTGCTACAGTTTAGTGTAATACCCATCTTTTGCCTGCTTTGTTCTTTTGATGAATTAAATTTAGATTAAAAAAAAAGAAGCTTGATTAGAAAAACATCCAAACACTGTCTCTTTGTTAATCTGGGCTGAACTTCTTGTTATAAAAAGATAAAGAGCGCTCTAGAATTAGTATATCAATTTTCCATTACAAAGCCAAACCTACAAAAGGAAAGCATTTGCTAGAATTTAGTGTAATAACCCATCTTTTTCAGTTCATATAATATCTGACCTTGATTCCCATTAAGAAATAAGTATGGCAAAGCTACATCAATTAAAAAGAGAAGTGTAAGTGGGTTGAAAATTCTCAGCCCCAATAAAAATGTACAGTTTAAGGAAGAAGGAAAAAGATAAATCCTCCTATCACTGCTCTTTATCCCTAAGGAAGTTGCTTATACGGAACAGGCTTATTGTCAGATAAATTCAGTTCTACTAGTCATCACTAATCATGTGACCTTAGCAAATTACATATACTTTCTGATCCTCAGTTTCTTCACATGTAATAAATGCCTATTTCATCCACAATTTTATTTTGGAAAGGATTTCAAATATTTAACTGCAATAATGCATATGAACTACACATGTAGCACAGCACCTGCCATAAAACAGGTTTTCTTCCTTCATAACCAATTCCTATGACAAGTAAATGGGTGGGAAACAGAAAAAAAAGGCACAAAGAAGGAAATTATAAACTTCCACATTACATTCATTCCTCATTTTCCCAAGCACTTTTCTACTTTCCTCATTTTTGTTTCTCATTTCCAATCTTTTGAAGCTTTCCCATTCCTCACACTGTCCTATAGGGATAGAGTAGGAAGTAGGCTTAGAGTGCCTGGAACAAGCACGTGGGAGAAACTAGGGACCCTCCTGTACTTAAATTGAGCTTAACAGCAAGGCATCACTGGGAGGGTTCCTGGCATCCTAATATGAAACTCATAGCAGAGTGATTTTTAAATGGTGAAGAGCTGGGAAGGTGAGGAGACAGTGTAACTGGCAAGGCAATGGAGTCATCCCCTATATAATCAGAGCATTTAGTGGACCAAATATTTCATATGTTCAAAGAGCTCAGATTTAAAAAAACAAAAACCTGAAAATCAAACTGAAACACTATTATAACTGTTAAATTTTTATAAACTCTAATAGTCTGCCTAGAAATCTAACCAAAAAGGCTAACCTTCCAGGAAAGACTTTTTCTGGGAAAAGATTTTGATTTTCAAAGACCCAACTGACAAACTTTGGGAACACAAACTACTTATAATTTTAGTGGCTTTCTTCTTTTTCCTTTTTTTTTTACAAGATCTTTTTTGCAAACCTTAAAAAGCTAACCATTTTCTAATGTCTATGCTTATTTTGTTCTAACTAGTAACTAAATGCGTTAAAGAAAAAAATCCAGAACAATTATTCTGTGTTTTTATCAATTAAAAAAATTAAATGT